TTTCTCACAAGTTCTTTTATTGTTGAGAATATTTTTTTTTTTTTGCTATCCTGGGATTTTGTTATTCTAAATGAATTTGCAAATTACTCTTTTTAACTCTATGAAGAATTGAGTTGGAATTTTAATGGGGATTGTATTGAATCTGTAGAATGTTTTTGGCAAAATGGCCATTTTTTATTATATTAATCCTGTCAATTCATGAGCATGGGAGATCTTTCCATCTTCTGAGACCTTCTTCAATTTCATTCTTCAGACAATTCTTTCACTTAGTTAGTTAGAATGGCTTATTTTCTGAGATCAAGAATTGACAAATGGGACCTCATAAAATTGCAAGGATTCTGTGACACAAAGGACACTGTCAATATGACAAAAAGGCACCCTAAAGATTTGGAAAAGATCTTTACCAATCCTACATCCAATAGAGGGCTAATATCAATTATATACGAAGAACTCAATAAGTTAGACTCCTGAGAACCAAATAACCTTATTAAAAAAAATAGGAAACAGGGCAAAACAAAGAATTCTCAACTGAGGAAACTAGAATAGCCAAGAAGCACCTAAAGAAATGTTCAACATCCTTAGTCATGAGGGAAATGCAAATTAAACCACCCTGAGATTCCACCTCACAGCAGTCAGAATGGGTGATATCAAAATTCATGTGACAGTAGAGGCTGGCAAGGATGTGGAGAAAGAGGAACACTCCTCCATTGTTCGTGAGATTGCAAGATGTTACAACCAGTCTAGAAATCAATCTGGTGGTTCCTCAGAAAATTGGATATAATATTACCTGAGGACCCAGCTATACCATTACTGGGCATATATGCAAAAGATGTTTCAATATATAGCAAGGGCACATATTCCACTATGTTCATTGAAGCCTTATATATAATAGCCACAAGCTGAAACAACCCAGATGGTTTTCAACAGAGGAATAGATAGAGAAAATGTGGTACATTTACATAATGGAGTACTACTCAGCTATTAAATTAATGATTTCATGAAATTTGTAGGCAAATAGATGAAACTAGAAAATATCATTCTGACTGAGGTAACCCAATTGCAAAACAATACACATGGTATGCACTTACTGGTAATTGGTTATTAGCCCAAATTCTTAGAATACCCAAGATACAATTCACAGACCACATGCAGCTCAAGAAGAAGAAAGACCAAAATATGGGTGCTTCAGACATTCTTAGAAAGGGAAACAACATTCTCATGTGAGTAAATTCGGAGACAAAGTGTGGAGCAGAGACTGAAGGAAGGCCATCCAAAGACTGCCACATGTGGGGATCCATTCCCTACACAGTCACCAAACCCAGACACTATTGTGGATGTCAAGAAGTGCATGCTGACAGGAGCCTGATATAGCTATCTCATGAGAGGTTCTTCCAGAGCCTGAAAAATACAGAGGTAGATGCTCACAGACAACCATTGGACTGAGCACAGGGTCCACATATGGATCACTAATGCTGTCTCCAGTGGAAGTGTTAGATAAAGGAGTGAAGTAGTTGAAGGAGTTTGCAACCCTATAGGATACAGTAATATCAACTAACCAGACCCTGCCCCAGATCTCCCCCAGACTAAACCATGAACCAAGGAGTATACATTGATCAAGCTGCATATCTAGCAGAGGATTGCCTTGATGGGCATCAATGGGAGGAGAGGCCCTTGGTCCTGTGAAGGCTTGATTCCCCAGTGTAGGGGAATTGGAGGGTGGGGAAGTGGGAGTATGTTTGTGGGTATGGGAACACCTTCATAGAAGCAGGGGAGTGGGGATAGGATAAAGGGTTTCTGGGGGTGGAAACTGGGAAAGAGGGTAGCATTTGAAATATAAAGCAAGAAAATATCCAATAAAAAATAAACTGTAAAAAAAAGGTTAGGCTACAAAAGGTACAAATCAAAAGAAACCAGTTAAAAACACTTAATGATTTTCACAAGTTACTGGGAGATATTAACTGGGTGTGTGCTCCAATTGTCCTAGCTATTCAAGAACTACACAGTTTATTTCTTACCTTACAAGATGATAACCCCCCAAAATGATCAGCCTAGGCTGAGGAGTTAGCTCTGCTAGAAAGGAAACTACAGGATATACATCTGGATTGTATTAATCCAAGAAATTGCCTATGTCTTAGTTATCTTTGCTTCTGCTCATTCTTCTACAAGAATTCTCATGCGGAGGGACATTATATCTTAGAATAGATACTTTTAGGGCATAAACAGAGTACGATATTTAAAACCTACATAGAGAAGATCTCTAAATTGAGAGTAAAGGAATAAAAGTGAGACTTTGAGAATTAGCTGGAAAGGATACAGCTGAAATTGTGGTACCTTTTACTAACACAGAGATTGCCTCATTATGGGCACAAGATGAATATTGACAAAGAACTTGAAGTAATTTCCATGGTGAGTTTAACAACAGATAATTTAAAAGAAGTGACTTCAGTTCATAAAAAGAACTAGTTGGATTCTTCCTAATATAACAAAAAGAATTCCAATTTTTGGGGCCCCTACATTTTACACTGATGCTAATAAATCAAGAAAGACAAGCTATAAATCAGAAGATGTAAGTAAGTTGTCTCAGAGTTCCTTATAAGTCAGTTCAAAAATTTGAATTATATACAATAGTTATGGTGCTGTCAGATTTTCAAGTCTCTTAATATAGTAACTGACTCTCAATATGCAGAAAGGGCTGTTTTACACATAGAGACTGGTGAACTTATTCAGGATGATTCTGAATTGACTTCACTGTTTACTAAGGTACTGCAAATGATCAGAAATAACAGACATAAGACACCATGCATGTCTTCAAGGTCATCTGGCTCAAAGTAGTAATGAAATTGACCAGCTATTGATAGGAAGATTATGAGAAACTTAAGAATTCCATAAAAAACACTATAGTAACAGTAAAGGCTTAAAGAAAGAATTCTCTATCACTTGACAACAAGCCAAAGAAATTGTGAGGCACTGGCCTACTTGTTCGTTATATAACCAAACTCCATTACCTACAGGAAGTAACCTTAAAAGTATCCAAAGAAATGAAATTTGGCAAAGGTTTATGTTGCATTTTACAGAGTTTGATAAACTGAAATATGTGCATCATACTATAGGCACATATTCAGAATTTCAATGGACAACTGCCTTAGCTTCAGAAAAGGCTGATTCTGATATTGCAGATTTGTTAGAAATTGTCCCCATTATGGAAACACCTATATAAATTAAAGTGGACAACAGTTGAACATATGTCTCTAATAAGATGAAACACATTTTTTCAAATATTATAAGCTAAACCATGTGACAGTAATATCACATACTTCTTCAGGTCACTCAATTGTACAGAGATTTAATTGAATTTAAAGGAGATGATTAACAGGCAAAAGAGGGCAACAAATACTCCTGGAGATAGATTACGTAGTGCTTTATTAACCTTAAATTTTTTAAATGCTAATGAACAAAAAACTATGGATGCTAAAAGACATTGGAATGTAGAAAAAAAACTGCTGAACTAACTAGAGTGTTTATTTTAAGAATATGCTGACATCAGAATTCAAAATGGGAAATATGTTATGCTGAGGGAGGTGTTATGCCTGTATTTCCATGAGGAAAGAAAAACTATGGGTTCCTTCCAAATTGATAAAAGTCAGAGATGACAAAGGGAGACATCCTAAAGAATTTGCCTACAGACTAGAAGAAAGGGACTAACAAGGTCAAAAGAATAGGTCATGAGTATGTGGTGATGTATGTATCTCTGTCCACAGAGACAGCTCTAGAACTAGTTGAGATTTAAATGTCTATAAACAGCCAATAACACCGATTGGGTACAAAATTCTCATGACTTATTATTACATTCAATCCTTTAAGAGGGCGAGAATAGAAATTTATATTTTAGTTTGATAATATGATCAAACTAACCTCTCAGGGAAGACACTTGTCTTTCTTTGTTGATCTTCATTAACTGAACTGTGCTCCTCACACCTTCCATATGAATGTCATTACAGAGCTATGTGTTGCTTGTAAGGTTTATATATTGCATAATAAAGGAAGAGGAAGACAGGCCTGACAAGGTTTGTGCTCTGGGATGCTCAGATTCTGTGACCTTTTATTCCACCTTATTGCTTGATTCTACCTCAAGTACATTGAAACTGTTTCCTCTAAAGACTTGCTTCCAGGACATTTCCATAACAGCTAGCTTGCCCTCCAGGATGGGAGGGACCCCTTTTCCTTGAAGAGAAGAGGAGTGGATATGGAGGGAGGAAGTTGTGAGTATGGGATTGAGAGGAGAGGAGGAAGGCAGCTGGAACCAGGACATAAAATGAACAAATAAAGAAAGAAAGAAAGAAAAAAAGAAAGAAATTAAAAATATACATACATGTTTCTTTAGAAAATAATTAAGTTGGAATTCATGCATAGTATGATAAGTACATAAATACTGACTAATACTTGTTTAATTTCCATAGTATCACACCTAGAAACTTTTGTCATGTCCAAACTCAGTAGACAAAACACCAAATAAATGACATTTTAAAATAAAAATGAAATGTTTTCAAGATGGAATTATATGAAGTGAATTGGAATTTGCTGATAATATACAACAAAATAGCAATCAAAATAGCATTTGTTTGATGGCTCAAGACTCCATGATTCTAGACTGAAGAGATGACTGTCAAAGATGGGAAGATATTAGTAGTACTGTATTGCATAGGCAGAGGGCTCAAGATCAGTTCCTAGGAGCCCAAAGAAGAAGTCTACAGCTACATGCAACTTCAGGTCCCTTGGAAGCAAAACATTCTTCTAATCTCTGAAGGCACTACAAACAGAAAAGTATACATACTACAACTATTATTGTTGCTACTACTAGTATTAGTAACAGGATCTTTTTAAAAAATCATGTTCATAATTCCACAACAGGATTTATTCTATGACCACATTCAGCTATTCACATATAGAACAACAGGAACCTAAAAATCAGTGTTCGTATAATATTTAAATGTTTTGAAAACTTATTCCCATGGAAACATCCCTGGAGAGAAACCAGCCATTTGCTCCTGGAATACTTTATCAAAGGCTTCAGCTTGGGCTACTGTGAAGTGATTCTTCCAGTCCCCAGTTGTTCCTGGAAAATGTGAAGCAGATACACAGGAGGATTAATAATGGTCTCAACACTGCTCTAGCTCCTCCCATCATGTGCTCTTACTATCTGATTGATAAAGAGCACACAGTTAATAAAGAAAACTCATTTTCTGTAGAAACTTTCTTAAGCCCTGAAATCATATACACAGACTTCTCCATCTGTGGAAATTTCACCCCACCTTTTCCTCTCCCAAACTATATGCTAGACAATCTAACAGGAGCAACACTGGCTTCACTTTTTTATATATCCAGATTATTCATGCTTCCCATCAAACCTGTTTCCATCTCACTAACCTACTCAATTATCATCTCAATGATCTGAACAGACTTCAATCATTCTGTCTATATCTTAGTATTTACTTATAGAAGTTCTACACAACATGCAGGCAACTTTTAAATAATATCTTAAAATAGTTTTTACTTTTGTATGTGTGGATTCACATGAGTGTTGCAGATACACACAGTTATGAGCAGCATTTAAGCTGTCTTGATTTTCCCACCAGATATACATAGCCACTCCTATCTGAGAACATCACAAGACTTCTGTTTCACTCAGCCATGGTATTTTGTGATGCATGAAGATCTGTATAATTTTATCCCCTGTCCTTTACAGCACTGTCTCTTCTGACCATACATTGGATTCACCAATCCATTCCAGAAGGTCTTCAGTTTTGGCCTTAGAAGTTGTCCAACTTCTCATGCTGTGTTGTGTCCTCCTTCACCACAGAGAACTAATTTCTTTCATATAATTACATCTTGCTCTTTGTCTTTTTATTAATGACAGTGTAAACTTCTCTTTTTATCTTTTCTCCATTTACAACCCAGCAGCCCCCATCCTTGCATTATTTCCTAGCTATGGCACTATCATGTGTTCCCTACATTTCTGCTTTGAATATACACAAAGAATATGCATCTAATATATTTAAAAGGAAAGTGTTTCTTAAATTACTATACGGTTCAGTTTTGAGAAGAGTGCCAGACATATAGGACATACTCAGTTTGGGATTTTTTTTAATATATCCATGAATCCATGAAAAAGATATAAGCAATCTTCCTCTTTTGCTGATGAGGAAAAATTAGTCTTTGAGATTTACTCTGTTAATGATGGATGTGGATTTGAATCCAAAAAGATTGACAATAGAAGTAATGCTTTTCTTTATTACATTACTTTTTTTCTGTATCATCACATAAGTTAATTTTAATACCCCAGTGGGCTGTATTAAAGAAAATGTAAGCAATTCATAAAAATGTAACTACTGATACAGTATATTCAAATAATATGCCACTAATTGATATGAATATAAATGTGTCATCTAATAAGGTGAGTACCTATCAGTATTTTCTCCATTAATACAATGTGTTTTTTTTACTTGTTTTCCACAGCACTCCTGGATCCTGATAAGCCAAACCCAATAGATGCTGGACTTCAAGAACCTCAACAAATTCGTTATGTCTTCCCAATATAATAAATCAGTCCATCTGAGAAAAACCATATCTTGGAAGGTATACACATTGAGTTCTAAGTCCAACTATATCAAAATCCTGGTAACTTATAGATGTACATTTATTATTATTCTTTCTAAAGAGCTCCCCAAACTCCTGTATGTAAGATGGCAGGATAACCCTAATGTGTGGTGGTTTAACTCTTGTTGATAAGGAACTTCCTCATAGGTCTGAAGGCTGCAGGTGTCCCATCAGGGTGTTGGGAAAAATTTGGAGGCTTTTCTTTTTGGCCTGCAGATGGCAGGCTTCTTCTTTTGTCCTTAGGTCAGCTACCCTTTCTGTGTCTGATTGTCTTCTGATGATACCAGGAAAAATGATTACTGGCCCAAGTACTGTGTTCAGTAAACATACACTGTTAAGTGTTCAAGGTTGGGACTTTTGAGGTTTGTCTTGATTGTGGTGTTGCCTTTACAAGCAGCCAAACAGTGGCTGAATGAGGGTGATCATCTCTCTAGTCTGCAGTTCTTTCAGTGTCTAAATATGGAATTACAATGATTACAATTGCATGTGCAAAATTGTTGTTTGGAGGTTAAAACAAGAATCATCTCACCAAGGTGAGTGATTGAGTCTCCCAGGTAAAATTGAAAATGTAGGTCTCCAGAAATAATAAAAGATATTTTACTCATGTCTCAAGAAGAAGCACATTTAAAGGATACAGGAAAATAGGTCTAGTGAATTCCTCCTGGCTAAGGCAATTCTACCACTTAGTACAACTTTTAACATTTTATGATTTAGGGAATTAGGTTATCTAATGATAAATAATAAAATTGGTTTTAGAGTTAATCTTTAATTTGCTCATATTTTAATAATTAAAAAATGGTACCAATCTGATATAGGAATTGAGAAGGCAAATATTATCTTTATTTCTAGACATATCCATTTCATCATCTTCTATGATGAAGTAATGAAACAAGTGGGTAATTAAGTTTGTGCCCCCATCATTTACCTGGTTTTCAGAGGTACATGGCTTACTAGCTATATGTCACACTAGTATAAGAAAAATAACCCCCAAGAATAAAAGTTGTCTCCAAATGCAAAAAACATATGCTACATATAATCACTAGGATACTTAAATTACAAAAGACTTATGAAGTCTGATGAAGTATTTTCACAGAACTATATTATAATTACTGTTCGTGTGTATGTATGTATGCATGCATGTATGTATGTATGTATTTTTCCTATTATCTATGCTACATGACAAATAGTATGTGTATTTGGAAGAGATAAAAATCCAAGTGTGTTCTTATCCTAGAAGAATCTTCCTGGACAAGTAGAAACAACAAGTGTCCTCATGGAATTTTGTCTTAAATTCTATTCCATCTGCTCAGATGTGTCTCTGCTAAAGCTTTTGCTTGTCAATTTCCTTATTCTTTTTGCTATTAACAGAGCTTCTCCATTCCTGTAGGTATTTAATAACAGAATTTTATGTTCATATACTGTTTTACCTTTGGTGAATTCTGAACCATTTCAGCAAATCTAAAAAAAGACCTCTTCTTTCAGTTGAGAGCTTCAGTTCTAGTGCAAAGAAATATGTCTTCAGAGTCTGGACTGCAAGAGTCTGAGGGCATCTGGCAATAGCAGTGTATTCTTCCAGAGGCCTTGATCTTTAGTGAATAGATGCTCATTTTCTTATGGTGAGTGGTGACATAGCATTATGTTTAAATCTGGGTCGAAATTTCCTATTTTGAGGATACTAAGAGTATAGGATTAAATACGGTCTGATAATTACTTTGACTTCATTTTGTCTATGAAAAATCCTGATATCCTTAATTTGTTAATTTGTTAGTATTCAAATCTCACACACTGGATAGGAGAATTGAATCATTTAAATCAATTAAATCAATTAAATTATTGGTAAAATCATTTAAATTATGGGTAAAAGAAAATTAAACCCACAAGTCTTTACTTCCGTCATTTGTACCAATGCTTTTAGTCATTGTTAAATATCTGAATTTTTTATTGAATATTTTATTTATTTACATTTAAGATGTCATCCCCTCTCCCCATTTCTCCTCCCTATAACCCCCTATCCCATCCTCCCTCCTTTTTTTTCTTTGCTTTTTACCATTTTAATTACATGTGTGTATTAAGGTCAGTTCTAGTTTGAGCAATATAATAGATGTGGGGCAGAAACTGGGGGAGGGACCATCCAGAGACTGCCCCACCTGGAGTTCCGTCCCAGATGCAATTACCATATGCAAATACTTTTGTGGATGCCTGGAAGTGCATGCTGACAGGAGCCTAAATATCTGATTCTTAACACCTTCTTTCTTCTACTCTGAGTTCCATCTCACCTATCATTACCTAATCAGGTCTGGCAAAGTCTCAAGATCTGATTGATTTTGGAAAAAAAACTGCACAGCTATGAAACAACACACAAAATCTGCTCCTAGCATACAGAGGTGGCACAGAAATAGAGAGGATTGAAATTCCCCTTCCATGTGAGACAATTTAGAAAGAAGTGAGGGATCATGAACCTAAAGTAATCTAAACATATGTTGGCAAATACAATCAGATTTTAACCCAGGATAACTGTCTTAGTCCTTTTTTGGTCTACTCTTGGCATACTATTGGGCAGCAATCTTGACCTGCTCAACATCTTTTCCAGAAGTTAATGCAACTTTTGTGATTCTATAGTTATTTCAGATATATCTTTGGTCTACTGCATTACATTTTTTTAATATTTTAGAATTGAAGATTATGATACAGGAAACTTTTCAAAGCCTCATAGAAACATGACTACTTTCTCATTTTTTTCATTGATGGTTTTGAACATGACCATCTCCATTCCCAAGATTGTCTCCCAGAATAAATCAACTTTTCAGAGGGTCTGAAGTCCATATCTTCTCCGTAAACCATTACCCTGTAATATTTGTAAGAAGCTATCAGTGATAAGCTGTGACAATACATTCCCAGAAATTTCTTAGAAATTCATTGGCACAACAAGCCCTTAACATGTTCTGATATATTTTGAAGCTAGACAATCTCCTTACCTTTTCTCATGAGGTTCAAGCCATTAGGAAGCAAATCTTTCTTGATGAGATTAAAATTGGACATGTTGTTTCTTTTCATGACTTGAAAGGAGCTGTACTTGAGGACCAGATCCAGCTCATCTGGCCCTAATTTTTTCTCTAGGAAGTCACAGATCTTCTTTATGGTTCCCTTTGTATCATAAAAGAAGAAGAAACAGAAATGAGGGAGATTAAACAGAGAGCTGTAATAAAACAGATGCAAAGAAGGGATCTGTGGATGAGGGATGAGAAAATGGATGTGAAGAAAGGGCATCAGCAAATGCGAAAGCATGAATGGGGTTTAGGCAAGAAAAGGCAAGAATGACTCACACACAACATTTATATATTGAGTGAGCTTGCAATGTGGCTGATCTTTGTTCCCTAGAAGACAGAAGCTGGGGTTTCTTTATAGGGAGAAGAAAATATTAGTGATAGCGACTCATAGAACTAAGGTTTAACTTAAACTTGCTTTGTAGAGGATTGTGACTTTGAATTTCTGACCCTCCTGCCTGTATCTCCAGAGTACTGTGGTCACAGGTGTTTGCCAACACATTCACTAAGTATACTGAGATTTTTTTTCTTAAGACAGGGCCTCACTCTGGAGTTCTGTCCTGTGAGATAGAAGTTGCTATGGAGACCAGTATACCTCAAGCTCACAGAGATCAGATCTATTTGGCCTTTTCCTTTCATGTGCTGGCATTGAAGGTATGTACAACCATATCTAACCTGCCCTGGGACATTTAAAGAAACTTATAGAAATGCTGCTAGACAATGATCAAGGTGAATGAAGGAATGTGCACAAAGACATCAACAGAGATTAATGTTTATGCCAAATAATACTGTTTGCTTAGGCTAACTGAAAACAAAACAGTTTTACAAGAGTTTCATAGAAATGGTGTCAATAATTACTTGCTGTCTTTCTGAGAGACTTTATTTTAAGTAAGCATCTCAAGTTGCAGTTCAAGTGGGCATCAAAATCATAATTTTTCTGTCTCAGATCTCCAATTGTTGTAATAATAACTGTGTACTACCACAACTAGTTTAATCCTAGGAGATAGTCATTACCACGCAAAATCTTAGAACAGCAAAAATTGTGTTTTGAATCCTACCCCAGCCCTGGAGCCATGAGGTTTTATTGGTTTAAAAATGATTTTTGCATATTTATCACAGTTATACTTAATATTTCATATGAAGGTAAACAATCATGAAAATAACTGAAAAGAAAGTGTTAAATGATAAGAAAGGTGACTTATGGGAATCTGCACTAGTGTGCAGTAGACAGATAGTAGTGATTCTTCCTAAGGAAAATTGAATTTCATGGTGATAAAATAAGAGTCTACATATGGGAAAAATAGTGTGATGAAAGTTTTTTGTTTTTTTACATTTAAATTTTCTGCTTCCTGAGAGATAACACTAAGAAGTCAAATTATTTTTGAATAATTTCATCTTTTGGTTTTGTTTGGTTGTATGTTACACACAAAATACACACATGGTATGCACTCATTGATAAGTGGATATTAGCCCCAAATCTCACAATACCCAAGTCATAACTCACAGACTATATGAAGCCCAAGAAAAAGAAAGACCATAGTGTGGGTGTTTCAGTCCTTCTTAGAAGGAGTAACAAAATACTCACAGGAGCAAATATGAGATAATGTGTGGGACAGAAACTTTTGGAGAGACCATCCAGAAGCTGCCTCACTTGGAGATCCCTCCCAGATGCAATCACCATATGCAAGCACTGTTGTGGATGTCTGGAAGTGCATGCTGACAGGAGCCTGATATACCTGTCTCCTGAGAGGCACTGCCAGAGCCTGACATATACAGAGGCTGATGCTCACAGCTAACCATCAAACTGACCACAGGGTTCCCAGTGGACAAGTTAGAGAGAAGACTGAAGGAGTTTAAGGAGCTTGTGGCCCAATGGGGAGAGCTACAATACCAACCAACCAGAGCTCTGTATTTCTAAACAGATAGCCTAGGAACACACGTGGAGGGACTCATGTCTCTAGCTGTATTTTTAGAGGAAGATGACTTGTCAGGTATCAGTGGGAGAGGAGGGCCTTGGTCCCTTGAAGGCTGGATGCCCCAGTGAGAGGAAATTCGAGGGAGGTGAGGTGGGAATTGGTGGGTAGGTAGGGGCACATGCTCACAAGAATAGGAGGGAGAATGGGTTAAGTGGTTTCTTGGCATGGGAAATGGGGAAAGGGGATAACATCTGAAATGTAGATAAAGTACCCAATAATAAAAAAAGAAAAAGAAAAACAAACAAACAAACAAACAAACAAATAATGGAACTAGCTATGGCAGTCGAAAATTTGAGACACTTTAGCAGCAATTTCACATTACCTATATTATGGGGATTCCTTACGTCAAAAATTTATTTAAATCGTATTCTTTTTATTTTGTATTTTTAAAGTTTTTTTTTTTAGAGATGCCAAGTGCCAGGGAATTTGAGGGTGGGGAGATGGGAGTGGGGGTGTGGTTGGGGGCACATCATCACAGAAACAGGAGGAGAGGGATGGGGTAGGTGGTTCCTGGGGGATTGGGGTAAGAGGATAACATCTGAAATGTAAATAAAATATCCAATTAAAAAAATTTGGATGCCAAGGAACTTTCTGCTGAGTGTCTATGATACTCTACAACTAGGCATACTTATGCATAGGTAAAAGGGAAGGATAAACTTACTGACATAAGGCATGATCCCAGTCAGGTATTAAATATGGGGAATAAGGCATGTTTGTGTTTTTTCTTCAGAATGTTGAAGGAACATGTTGGCTGCAAGAGCCATGGGTGAGACATGCTAACACCAGGACAAAGAATGATGTTGACCTGTGAGCTTGCTGGGTGCCCTGACAATGGTGACTGGGAAGCTGTATTGGACATAAATTCCGGACCCACCATTGCTTACCTATACCCCTGATGGGAAAAGCTGCCTTGCCTCAAGTTTTAGATCTTTTGGAACAGAGAATCAAAAAGAGAAGTTAAAATAACTCTTGTATTGTTCTTAAGTATGACCAGTTATTCAGACTCAATCACGTACTGGTCTAGAAATCAATCTAATATTGGAAATAACAGTCTTTATTTGGAAGTCTGGGTATGAACATTTTCAGAGACATATATAGAAATTAGCTGCAGTTCTCTATGATGTTATGTTAGCAAGAGATAAAGTTGGGACAGGATCTGGATTTCAAGCAGGTGTCAGCACATGTGTTAAGACACTTCAAATTGTCAAGTTAAAAATACTTTTCCTTCTTCTATAGTATTTAATGTAAGTTGCATTGATTGTACACCTTCTAATTGTGTTTGTGTTTTGAAATCCGGTATGTCAGTCACAGAGGTCTATCATCTAGATTTTGTTTTAGTGTCCTGAGTATCACAGAACCTTGGTATTCTAAAACTAGCTTGCAAGTACTGGAAGAAATGAGTCATGCTTTAAGCAGAAGCAAGAGGGGAGTGGGCTTGATTATTGCTGGTATAACAGCTTAATTACATTAATTGCTAGCACCACTGCTTCTACAATTGCTTTGACACAGTAAGTTATGACAGCTACTTTTATTAATCATTTTGCAAAAAAAGTTACTAATGTGTTGAATATACAAGAGGATTTAGATAGGCATTTGGAAGAACGTATTTATGCTCTTTATCCTATTTAAATTATTGGAAGGAGTTTCAGAATTTAAGGGTAAGGTGCCATCTTGAGTATCATGCCAAATAACATTGGATTCATGTTAGCTCTAAAATTTACAGTGGTAGTCATTATAATTAGGAATAAGTTTAAAGATGCTTGCAATGTATTTGGCATAATTCTAACACCTCTCTGGATGTTTTGATGATACATAGGGAGCTTATGAATTTCAAGAATGCTGCTTTGCTGTGCATTGATGTGGTAGATAGTGCAGATCAAATTACCCATGGCCTGAGGTCAATCAAGCTTCAAGAATGGCATATATAGCTTGATCATGCTAGCCCTTTTTGTTCTGGGAATACTTTTATTCCTGCCCTTTGTGTTAAAGCTTTTCTTTAACAACATCAACATGTTGGCAGCCAAGTACATGGCTTGAACCTGAAAATGTACCCCTAGACAGAGATAGTAAATTAACAGGCTGGCAAGCCAAGGATGGATATATTCTGCACAGAGCCTTATTAAGTTAAGGCAGATGTGCATTGTTTTTGATAATGCATATTCCATGACAGGTAAGGAAGGTATTCTTATCAGAACAACCTAAGAAAGGATCAGTCTTGTTAATGAAATACAAAAAGAGTAGAGGTTGAGAACCTTTGTGACTGCTTGACAAGACTCTGACATGGGCCAAGGACAAGGAAATGGGCTGCTTGGCAGGAATATGACTGGTCAAGGACAAGGTAGTAGGCTTCAGGCAGAAATCAGACATTAGGCTAGAATAAAGAAATAATTTCAGGTAGGAATTCTGAATCATAGGCTAAAACAAAGACCTAATCTCAGGCAGGAACCTACATATTATAGTAGAACAAAGAAGTAATTTCAGAAAGGAATCTAAATTTTAGGGTCGAACAAGGAAGTAGGCTTTAGACATGAAAATGACCTTGGACTAGGACAGGGAAGAAGGCTCAGATACTTTGGGCATCCTGATAAGCCCTTGGAAATAGTGATCATGAGAGTGCTCATTAAATTAGGTTTAATGCCTTGCTTTTTCTTTCACTATTTGTGTTTATTTTATTGCTTGTTTCTTGTCTATTCGCATCTATTGTATTGCTAGACCTTCAACCTAGAATTGACCTTAATATATGCATGTAATTAAAATGATATAAAAGCATAAAGGAGAAGAGGGGATGGGATGGGGGTTCTAGGGAGGGGAAATATGGAAATAGGATATCTGTATTGTAAATAAATAAAATATCCAATAAAAAACAAAAATAAGAACAACAACAACAACAACAACAACAATAACAACAACAACAAAAACCAAAGACCAAAAAGGCGACTTGCGGGTATCTGCACTAGTATGCAGCAACAGTATAGGTAGCAATCCTTCCTAAGGAAAATTGAGTTTTATCAGGATTAAACAAGAGTCTACATATGGAAAAAATAGTGTGAAAAAAGATTTTTTTAAGCCTGTAAACTTTCTGCTTCCTGAGGGATAGCTCTAAGAGGTCAAATCATTTTTGAATAATTTCACCTTTTCGGTTTTGTTTGGTTGTGCTTTAATTTTTTATTAGTAATTACTTTCCTCAATCCCTTTATGGAAGCAGGTAGGCTGACAACAGACCTTCAACTTTCCCTTGATTTTCCAGATTCTATGCCCAAGTTTCATCCTTAGCTCTGCAGCAGAAAACTTGCAGCAGCACTTCCCTTCTCTAGTGGATCCAATGATCTTTCCCTTCAAATATTGCTTGCTCAACTCACTGCATTATCCCAGTTCCCAAGTTCATCACTCCCTGGAAACTTGCGGTCCACTCTGGCTATGGAAACAGGTAGGCTATCTGCAGATTGATCTTCACTTTTCCCAGAATTTCTCAAAGTCCAATCACCCAGTCTCATTGTTATCTCTGTAAAGAACACCAAACTTTGGCCACGGGAGAGGGGAAGGTGAATTGCTTTGCCTCAGCCCCCAACTCCAGAATGTATTCCTGAGGAAGCCAAAGCCTGTTATGACAAGGGAAGCAATTAGGTCACATCTTCAGATCTTCATATCTCTTCCATTCTTTAAATCCAATCCCTGAGTGCCATCCCTACCTCTTTATCAAACCTTCTTCTGTGGCCTTTTCCCCACTCCCAGAAGATTGACTATGCAGATCTTGGTGGAACACCCTGCTTTCTTTCCTCTTGTATAGTCCCTTTACTGAGTCCAGCCCATCTCCATTGCTAATTCGCAGGTCCTACAAACCATAAACACACCTTACCTGGTACCCTAATGTAGTTCCTACAGGCTACATAGAGCCACCTCATTCTTCTAATAACCAGAGTGAAACAGAAACCAGGGCACAAAACTCCCACCCAATACAGGCAAGACCAGATATCATCACCTAGAATTATTATATTCCTAATCTAAGATGCCTAAATACTAGTGTAAAGACACAATCAATAACAACCAGGACAGTATATCTCTACTAGAGCCCAGCAACCATAACAAAGCAAGCCCTGCATATTTCAGCATAGCTGAGGCACAAGGAAAAATTCTTAAAACAGCTTTTATGAATATAATAGTGGTTGCTTTAAAGGAAATGAATATATTCCTTAAAGAAATCTATGAATCCACAGAAAAACAGTGGAAAGAAATGAATTAAACTGATTTCCTCCTGGGTAGAAATAGAATCAACATAGAAAATCCAAATTGACAGAAATCTCAAAATGAAAATTTTGGAACTCAAACAGGTATCACAGAGACAAACTTCACCAACAAGTAGAGTAGATAGAATGGAGACTTTAAGTATTGAAGACATGGTAGAATAAATAAATATATTAAATAAAATACTAAATATTTAAAACTCCTGGTACATAATATCCAGGATATCTGGGTCACTACTTTGAAAACACCTGATCTATGAATAATAGGAATAGAAGAAGAAAAGTAAACCCAGGTCATAGGCACAGAAATTATTTTCAACAAAATTATAGAAAAAATTACTAACCTGAAGACAGAGATGCCTATCAAAGTTCATGAATTATACAAAACACCAAGTAGATTGGACCAGAAAAGAAATTCCCTTGAGCACCTAATAATCAAAACATTAAATATACAAAATAAATTATGAAATGATGTGCAAAATCTAGGATGCTGGAATCAAATTGGAAAGGGGAAAGGACAGGGGGTCATGGAAGGGAGGTCAGGAGATACTGGTAAATTTAAGACATATTTGAGTAGTATTGAAACCTAGTACAGTGGATTCTTCCTAACATCTATGCATATGTAATGGTGATCATAGTGATATCACCAAATTATGGCTATCCCTTGTCACAAAGAGAGAGAGAGAGAGAGAGAGAGAGAGAGAGAGAGAGAGAGAGAGAGTTTCCAGTACTAGGAATGGGTTACATTTAATTAAGTTTTTTGTCAAATGGACCCCATAAAAATCCTTCTCAAAAAACCCAGTCTGTTGCAAAGACTATAAGTTGCTCTCCACAAACTGACAACAAGCCTTCATTGCTAAAGACAACACCTATACAAATTACTAAATGTGAAGATGTCAAGCTGATCCCTACAAAGAACCTCTACCCTTACATCCTAGTGTCTTTACTACAGAAAGGCACTTTGTATACTCCACAGAGAGAAATATAAAAACCAAGCTAGACACAAATCCTTCGATCTATAGTGGTGTACTACTTGCTAGATAAGTTAGATCAGTGGTGGCTCAAAGCTTATGTGAGTAGGGAACCAATAACTGATTTGACTTCAATCCCATTTCATGAGGTGGAGCCTATATCCTAAACGGCTTGTGTGATCAAGGACCTAAGACTAGATAGCCCAAGGTCTTATGGGAAAACCATATAATATTCTTAGAAAGGAAAAAGAAAAAAATTGTAAAATGACTCCTAATGATATTCTGCTATATGCATAGAGCAGTGCCTTCTTTACCTCTTGCAGCAGATGAGGACAAATATAGAAACTTAAAGCCATACATTATAAAGAGTGAGACTCCCTAAATGGATGTCTCCATCACAGCCCTCCTTCCAGAGCTCAGGGGACCCTGAAGAAGATGAGGATGAAAGGCTATAAAAGTAATAGAAAATTCAGAACATCAAGAGATATGAATGCTCAGAGACTAAAGCAGTATGGACAGAGCTTTGGTGGGTCTGTCCCACATACTCTGTGTCTATATCAATGTCTCAAATTTAATGTTTTCATGAGATTCCTGAATGAGTGAATGAGTTGGTTGATCAGCAATCTCCTTTCTCTCAGTCAGACTCTTTTCCTTTTGGTGGTTTGACTTGTCTAAGGTTGATGTGATAGTTTTTGTTTTATCACACAATATTTGGCTTATACTTATACAGCATTGTTCACCATTGGAGGAAGTTGAGACAAGAAGTTAAACATCACAGGACCCTGGTAGCTGAGGCTGATGCTGAGGCAATAGAAGCATGCTGCTTGTTGGCTTGTTCACCATGGTATATGTACCTGTATTCATAAAGAACACAAAGATGGCAGCTCCCACAATGGGATGTGCTCTCCCCCTTCAGTCAATGATTAAGAAAGTGTCTCATAAGTTTGTCTACAGCTGATCTTATGGAGGTATTTTCATAATTAAAGTTTCCTCCTCTCAGGTGATTCTAGCTTGTGACATGTTGACACAGAACTATACAGAACATTATTTTATATTGTATTCTATTATATTTTATTTTCTTGATTTGAGAGACTTGTTGTACTAGATTTTTTTTGAAGAAAAATTTTAAAGTTGGGTGGGTAAGGAGGCATAGAGAATCTGGAAGGCAACTGGGAGAGGGTTAATATGATCAACATATATTTACATTTAAAAGTTGTTTTACTTAATAAAAAATAATTTTTAAAATGTCAGAACAAACCAACAAACAATCAAAGTTCTCAATAACATTCCTCATTACTAGGGTCTAGTTCTTCACTATATGATGACTGTAAGACTGATGCTCACTTTTTTCATGTCTTCATAGTACAGTACCAAGAAGTTGTCCCATTCTCTCATGGACAGCCAACCACGCATGTGCTCAAACCATGATCCATATGGACCTTTATGCACGGAGAGGTAAAGTGTTAATTACATATCCTTAACACAAGGTCTGCTTGACTTTCTTCACTTCTCTGAAAGCAGCAGCAGAAAGCTTCACTAAGAAAAATCTAACTAGTCTGTATTTATAGCATTAAACATGATGTTTGAGCCAAATACATGATTACAGAACTGATAAAATCAAGTTCATTAACAAACTCCTTACCACACAGACTTACCATGGAGGACATGAGGAGGTATCCCACTGCCAAGTTACAAGGACAGGAGTATGTGCTGGGGAATTTTTCACACAAATACAGGAATCTAGAGGTGATTTCTGTAAATACCTGCCTTCTGTTGAGGTGTACTAGGAAGACAGAAAGATTTGATGACAGAGATGAGAGAATAGTATTTTATATGATGTTGGAAAGAAAGATTCCCATCAATACAGCAACATATTGGCTGAAATTTAATGGAGATATGAATCAAGGCTATACGACATTGTTAAAAATCACATCAACAAAGTGAGTGAGAGGAATAAGGCACCTTTGTGTGTGTGTGCATGCGTGTGTAAGAGAGAGAGAGAGGGAGAGGGAGAGGGAGAGGGAGAGGGAGAGGGAGGGAGGGAGGGAGGGAGGGAGAGAGAGAGAGAGAGAGAGAGAGAGAGAGAGAGAGTGCACTTGTGAAGTTTTAGAATGACCTGAGCACATGTATTGGAGGCAGGTCTGTTGATTATGAGAAATATATAGGGTACTGCCAAGTGGGGAAACAAAAAGCAGAGGAATCTGAACTGAATCCTTCTACTCAGCATACTGATGTCTGCAATTCCCTATGGGGGTATCCTTTTCACATCTTTTTTTTTTTCAATTTTTGGGCCCCTGATTTTGCCCATAATGCTCCTATCCTGCATTGATCTCACATGCTACAATACAGATGTGCCAGACCAGATGTGTCTAGTAATGCAATAATGGCACAGTTGTTATGAAATAACTTAAATGACATCCAATTTGATTTGAGGCTTGATCCTTGGGAGGGAATTTATACTGGTACTATAAACCTGGTCATGAACTCATGGCTGGAAAGGTAGAGTGCTGTTGCTGGCCAGCAGCCACAGTCAACCAGGTTCACCTGAAAGAGAGGCTGGGAATGGAAGAAGGGACAGGAGGGTGGGAAGAGATGAAGACAGGACAAAGGTCTCTGATTGATGCTCAATGCTTTAATGTTCATCTTTCAATTTAAAGGGGAAAGCCCACCCCCACCCCCAGAGTTCCTTCTTGCTTCAGCCCGCTGGGGGTGAGGGGAATCCATCCTTAATTGCAGGCCAGAGATGTCTCAAGGCAAGCTCAGTAGGCAGTCTATTCTTCTCAGCTTGTGTACCAGGCTACAGGCAGCCAAGGAGGTGCCAAGGCAGGCAATGCAGGCAATGCCTCTGGAGTCCTATTGTTTGGTCTGTTGTGGTAAACAAGGTCACTCAGGCCTGCTCAAGGCTGGGGCAAGGGCACAATTCCCCCTTTTTAGTTTTATAAAATATGAGGAGTGCCAGCAGCTGGATGGGGTACAATGTTTCATCCCATCTAGGGTACAGAGTGGCCAGGAGACAGTGCCTGTCTTAGGTTGGCATCTATATTGCTCCTATATTACCTGTCTTTGAGGTAATACATAGCATATTGATATATCCCTCTGCCTTAGGTTTATAGGAGCTCAAGACACTCTTACCCGTCTTTGACTAATCGGCCATCATTGGCACACTGTTTCCCATAGGACCAAAACCACATTCAGACCAAAGGACCTGTGGGCATGCACTAGATGCAGTTCTTCACAATGATGTGTAAACTGCCATCAGAAAGCTGAGCTTGCTGAGAGCGATTCTGTGTGAGGGAAATCAATCTGCTTAAAATACAAATTTCAAGGTTAAAAGCAACATGATTATCCAAGCAATGTAGAAATTAAGGTTGAAAGTGGAAGCATTTCAGTATCTAATCCAACTGCTGGTTGACAGGGATGAGACACAAATCTGGCCACCAGGTATGTAGTGAGTGGCTTTAAGTATTGATAAAAGACTTATTCTCCAATAAGTGTGGAGACTACATGACAGGTTAAATCAGCTGGCAGATAAGAATTTTGAGCCATCTTCATCATTAGTATCATAATTATTAGGCTCAAGATCTTTGTCTACTTGATGGACCAATCTTTCAGGTAGCCATTGGGCTCCCTTCTCTTTTTCTGAAAAAATAGACTGAGCCATGGCCAAAAATTAAAACAGGGTTGGAACTACACAAAGTATTAGTTAAGGAGTCTCTCCACATGACCCTGGCAATTGCACTGGAAGTGACTAGACGCTAGTGGCGATCTGCTGCAGACTGATCTTTAGCATCAGTTTGCAGAAAATTTAAAATTAAACAAAGACAAGGTGTGCAATTGGTGACCTTGGGGGGTATAATTCCCCCTTTTGAGTTTTTAAAAGCCAATTTTCCAGGGTTCCTTGTAAAACCAGGGAAGAAGCATCAGTAGCTGTTCCTCCCACATTTAAGAGAGTTATCAAGATATTATCTTAAAGTTCCATAATCTCTCTTTCACAATTCCTTGTCCTTGAGGATAATAAGGAATCTCAGTAATAAGGATAATATTAAATTGTCAAGAAAACATCTCAAATGTTTGACTGCAATGGCCAGTTCCATTTTCTATAATCTGATATGGAACACCAAGCATAGAAAAATAATGTAGGCAATAACTAATTGTAATTTTTAGATGCTTTTCTTTTTAAAGCAGTTGCAACTAGAAAGCCTAAAAGGGTATAAAGTCACATGTACATGTTTTAAATTTCCAAAATCAAAAATGAGTAAAATCTATTTTCCATAATTGATCATGTATAAGTTCTCAAGGCTTAACACCATTATGAAAAATTTGAGGACACTGAGAACAAGTTTTTGCAATTTAACTTGCACACTTTCTAGAAATATCAAATTATTCTCTCAATCTATTATTATTTTGGTCATGTAAAGAATAAGATTGTATGGCCAATTGTTTCTGTAAGGTCTATAATTTGACTAGTATACAAATCTGCTCTGGCATTGCCCTGGGGTCCAGGCAATCCAACATGAGCTCTTAAATGTCTTATAAAGTTAAGAAACAGTGCATGTTTCTTAAATTATGCTGTATTTGTATAAATAACAGTAAAATTTGAGAATTAGCAATATCTAAAAAAGGAACAATTTCAAGCAATTATAAACCATGAGCCACATACTGGCTATAAGCATACAAATTGAAAGCATGACTTTTCAGTGTAAGGACCCAGGAAGAGGACCCCATCTCAAGTCCCAATTAGCGCGCACCCAAGGAGACACGAGAGACTGACTTGATGCAATGGCAAAAGGCAGTTTACTAACAAGGGCCCTTGGATCGAAACTCACCCCACACAGGGGAGAGAATTTCGATGAAGACCCCAGGAAGTTTAGAACTTTTATAGGGGGAGGCACAAGGGGGAAGGGAAAAGTGGGAAATTCTGGCGCGGTTACATATGATTGGATATTTCAAACATCAGCACTTTGCGTAAGCAATCATTTTGACAGGTTGGATGGCCCACTATTTTTGACCATGAAGTCTCAGACCTTCTAGGATAAACACCAGGTGGCCCATTACTCACTTGGGCATGTTTAGACTGGTCAAGATATGTCTTTGGTTGTTTCTACATTTCTGGTCACCTTGTCCCTAGAGGGACTTGATATTTTTATTATGGCTATTCTCAGCAAGCTCAGCAAGCTGTCCTGCGGTCTTTGCCAAGTTGTTTGTGGTCTCTGCTGAGCTGTTTTAATTTTTACCCTTACATCAGCATTTCAAGCAGTGGCTACAGCATGTAATTTAATTATTTGTGTTGAAGCAGGGGGAACCTCAAGAAAACGAACATGTGATATAACTCCATATACTGCCTTCTCAATAGATGAGGCACCTGTAAATACAGTAAACATCTTTTCTATGGGCTGCATGCAAATTTATAGGAAATACAAAAGCATGCATAGAGAAAAACTGTAATAACTTGTCTTATGATTATAATGTTTATCAAATTTGTCTAAAAAGTTTACCATGTAATAGGCCAAATATCATTATTCTCCAATAACCAATTTAATTTCTATTTGGAATAAGGAATTAACATTTCATCCAAAATACTTTCAGGATTCTATCTTATAATCCTGTATTAACACTGCACTAGTTTCATAATAGGATGTTCAAACTTTACTTGTAGATGTAGAAGGATGCGTTTACATTAATGGTTTCTTTTGCCAAAGGGCTGCTGTGAGCACATGAGTAGCAATAACTCAAACAGCCAACAATTGATCATAGTCTATATAATTTGTCTTTTGTAACTAACAGCTTACTCAAAGGTATATATCCCTCATGAGTTAATTGTCAAGGGGAATTAGGATTTGCATCCCCCTTGAGAATATCAAACAGAGGTTCACGTTCTCCAATGGTAAGCTTAAGATGAGGTTTCAGCCAATTAATATCTCCTAACAACTTTTGAGAATCATTAAAAGTAAACCATTTTTGTATGTACACTTGCAAGCCAGAAGAGGGCACTAGATCCCACTCCAAATGACTGTGATCCACCATGTGGTTGCCTGGAATTGAACTCTAATATTTATGGTTGTGAGCCTAGCCTTTAACGGCTGAGCCATCTCTCCAGCCCCAATTATCTATTCTTATTGGAAATTTTCTGTGCTACAATCTGTTTAAGATATAACTGAGGTCCCAAATATTGAAAAGATATTGCTTTTGAATCTTTTCTGGAGTGATAAGCACTCTAAAATTTTAAAGCTCATTGTATTAGAGCAAAGGCTTGCAGAAAACTCCTTTAGAGAGATCAGCTAATAAAATATATAATGAATAATATACACTGAGTGATTTAAACACTTAACTTTTTGTATTAAAGCAACAACAAATTTTTAAGGCCATTAATCATCCCCTGAGGCAAACTTTTTTAATGATATTGCTTCATGGGCTTTCGAAAATCACAAGCAAATTCACT